CAATGCACACCACACAGTCACTTTTTGAGGATACATCGGCTGCTCTTGATACTCACGGGGATTTTCGTTCGCCCAGATGCGGCAGTTTTGCTTGTTTACCGTCCCATTCAAAGTGAAATGCGCTTCGTCGCTGAACATGATTTTTGATGAAAAATTGGCATCAATTTGGCGGTGTTCAAGGAGCCAATCGAAAAATGGTCGGCCCGACGCAGCTCTTGCATCAATTGGATCTTGTAGGCATGTACATTCAAATCCTTGTGGAGAATGCGGAGCAAACTGGTTCTCGAAATGCCCAATTCTTGGGGTGTTCAAGGAGCCAATCTGAGAACGTTCGGCGCGAAAAATGGTCGGCCCGATGCAGCTCTTACGTCAATTGGATCTTGTAGGCGTGTACATTCAAATCCTTGTGGAGTGCGCGGAGCAAACTGGTTCTCGAAATGCCCAATTCTTGGGATCGACGCGTTCTTGATTGTTTCGGATCGTCTCTCACACTCTCCTTCACAACAGCAATATTTTCCGGTGTGCGAACGCTCCTTGGCCGGCCAGACCCTGGCAGATTTGCCACAGAACCTGTTGCCTCGAATTTACGCACCAGACGGCCGATGGTTGTTTCGTTTGGGCGGTTGTTGCGACCGAAATGTTCACGAAGCGCGCGAAACGTGTTGTTTACTTTTGCACCATTTTTGTAGTGCTCTTGAATAACTTTAATGCGGTCTTCAATCGAATACGACTCCATAGCGATCAATGGTAAACATTCAACTAACAAAATGACATGTCGGTGACAGAAAACAAAGATGGCGTCTATGTCAAATTGACGTTTACTTTCCTGCGTCCCTATTGGACAACCTTTATTTCTATTTAGTTTTATATCACGATGATGAAGTGGTATGGATATGGATGGATGGTCACATATTATATAGTGGTATACCTTGTAATTCTTTCTTGAAGCTGTTGGAATATGTATTAACAGGTACGTAAAATAACCTCCCACACCCCATACAACCTCCAACCCTTGATTTTTAATTAATATTTTAGAGGGTGATTCCTTGTTGAAAAATATGAAAATAAGAAACTTTCTATAAACAAGGGGTCGAAAAATGCAGTTGGAGTTTTCAAGATGCAGGGTGATATTTTTTTATCAATATCTTAAAAAGTATTTGGCAATATTATTTGTTGTATTCTGAGGGTTTATTTATTTTCGTTTTCCAAGGCACTCGTGATTTTTTTAGCAAAAATTAATAAACCAATTTTGTCCACTGACATGCAATAAAATGATTTTATTTTTTTTCTCGCAAACGAAGTGGGATAAGAAAAATAAGTTTTATTCTTAGATGCCCAATCAAACAACAAAGATTGAAAAATACATGTTTTTGCCAATAATATTCGCTGACGTCACTGATCCATTTTGATCTATTATAAGCTAACTTAGACTCTTAATACAACAAATTATATTACATATCTCTTAATTTAATTTTTCACCCTGTATCTTGAAAACTTTCCAACCCGTGTTTATAGAAACTTTTTTTCATATTTTTTAACAAGGAATCACCCTCTAAAATATCTCCGTCTATGTATGTGGGAAGTAAGAATGGTAGAAAGTCAAAAATGTGCATTCTTCCCTGGGAAGATTTTCCATTTCTTGCGATTTCATCCAAACATTTTTTTCATCTCAGCCACAACCCTCCGAATTTCCGTTTTACCGGTAACTAAAAGTCCAAGAACTTTTGACACGGTCCCGATACACATCGTGCTATTATTAGAACCCGCTAGCCGCAGTGGGATATTGATCGCATTAGGGGTTCTCCCGTTGTGCCAGAACGGCCACGCATTGCACTGTTGCAACGCATCCCTTCTCATCCCCATGCCTTAGTCGTAAGCTGCCCCAGTCGTTATGCCTATTAACCCACATTCCACGATCACTCTTACGACTGTCCAATTCAAGTTCACTGTCATTCATATCGGTCCCTCAAAATCGATTTCAGCTGATAATAGTTTCCTATTTGTAGAATATACTCTCAGAATAAGATGTTAATCTCTCGGTTGAATATCAGAATATTGACTAACTTGTCCTAAAAATTGGGGGTTAAGGGTTGCAGTAGGTGAGATCACTCATCATATAAGGCGTATTTCATCATAGATGTACATTTACCCTTAAGACTTAGAAATATTCAAACGTGCGATGTGGTCCCCCGATGGACAAGTGCACTGTACATGGTGAAGGCCAATGTTAATATTTACACGGGATTGCGGATCGCAACACCAAAACGCTGGCAAAAAATGTACGATTTCTAAGGTCTTTAAATGATTTTCAGTACAACAGTTTTTTTTTGTTGTTGATTCCAAAGCTGCGATTAGTTTGTCTCTGTGAGGGCATTTGAAGATCATATCAAGGACATTTGCAAAAGATTTTGTCTGGGAGTACAATTTATTCTTTGAATATGGTAATTTAAAGAAGTGAAACTAAAAATAGTAAGCAGTTTTGCTCAGGATGACAATGACAGATTTCTATTTCATAAAATAAAAGCTCGTTACCTTTCTACTATGATCCATATCTAAACGATCAAATATTTCAACACTGATGACACTGTAACTCCTCAATTTTGTCATTTGAAAGTAGTGTCGAAAAAATAAATTAAGAACAGTTTTATTAGTCCGCCATGGTGTAAACAAGGTCCTGATTCTACAAACAACTCATTATTTAAGGTAACAAGCTTGAAAATCGGAAATAATGTTCATTCATTTACTTTGTTTTTTCAATATTCGCCCTGTATGCGAATAAGTACTGTGCTGCGGAGAGAAAGACAAAAAATGAAAAATAAAAATCGCTCAAACTTCGTTTTTTGACATTTCAGAGGATCCCAATGATCTTAGAAACAACTTCCAGGGGTAAGAAATTGAGGGATGGGGCGTTGTAGAGGGGTTTGGGAGGGTATATCTCAATTTTTTGTTGTTGTATTCATAATAAATAAAACTTCGGAAGATAGAACAATGTTTTCGATACGCGTCCCTGCTTCTGCTCCCTGAGCCCACCGGCGTGCGTGCGGGTCTTGATAAGTGTCGTGGCATTAATGCCGCTGTGTCGCACTACCGCATCTGACGCGTTATGCGGTCCAGTATCGAGAGAGGCGACGTTGTCAGATGCTATCGACTAATCGTATGGGCCTGTTTTGACTAACTTGATCCATTTTATTTTCCTGTTATACATGTCAACATTTTTTTAACAGGTCAAATTAGCAGTGAAGGAATTGGCGCATCTTAACGTTGAAATAACGACCCTGTATAAGTTGATTCTTTTGAGAAATGTCCTGGGGCATTCTAGTTTCAAAGGCACTCCCTTTTAAGGGTCGTAAAACCCTTAGGATATATTAGATTGGATTATAGCGAAGGGTTGTCACACAACTCACGTGACTGCGACAATATGTATCTATTGTAACTTTCTGTTTACAATGCCTAAAGCATTGTATTCTCCTTTGATCTTGGCATGGCCCCCATGTAGAATTTCGCTTTTGGGCTTCTTATCAAAAAGATAAAGTGGAATAAGTAAAAAAAAATATTTCAAATGCAATTATCTCAAAACTACGTATTTGGACTTGACCTGGTCTCGTGAAGTGAGTTGGTTCTTCTCTGTTATTCAAGGATGTCACGCTCAGCGCATCTTTGCCGAACTTCTGAGTGATGTTCCAATTCCCCCTACTTTCCATCATGAGTCTGGTAGCACTTCTACAATTGATTTCCTCTCCAAAGACACTGTCCGCTAAAGAAACGTCTTTGTAACATGAGATTGACTGATACATCTAAATGCAGAGCATGCGAATAAGAAAATGAGACAGTAAGCACTTGGTTTGCTACTGTCCAGCTGTCCTATCAAATGAGAATCCATTCAGCGGAAGGGAAACTCTGCTGGGTGGTCTCACCCCCTTTTTCATTTGTTTGGCGTGGTTGATGAGTCGGACTAGGATGTTTCCTGGGGAGGACAGACGAGGTCCAGTGGGGCCTAAGGGCTGTGATTTTGGATGACGGCTCCCCCGCCTTATGCAGATGCAGCTAGCAAACAATCCAGCCAATCTACGTGGTTTCATTTGGTCGCCATAAAAATATATACACGCATGGAAAGCACAGGGTAAAGTTCAGATACTACATTGTTTTGTTAAAAGATCCATCTTCGTAAACACCGACTACCGTTCTTTTATGTAATCTGTTTAACTGTGTCCCTATTGGGCCTTCCACCATTCTATTGATATATCCTTTTACTGATTGCTTTATGCGTTTTTTAACCGCATAATAATCATCCTTTCCTCTCGCTCTTTGTAATACTGCTATACAAAATACAAAGTTCTCATCATTTATGCGAAAGGACGCCCTCCGTGATGTACTTTGAACAACGTGATGCGGCTAAAATGTCCAACAAAACTGACTGTTGGACCTTTTAAGAATACCGGTATGGTATACTATATAGTCGCGCTTGAGAGTATTTGGGGCACTTGAGTCTCTTTCGATATTTAAGACGATTCCTCGTTCATTCCAACGATATCTTAGAAGATCTGTACTGACGAGCCAGTATTCTTGTTGACATTCCAACCTGATTTTTTGCTCTTGTCACCAATCTCTCTGACCTAATGCACGTGTCTTCCACTTTTTGGGAGTATCAGACATGATAACTTGTAGACAGTTTTTCTTATATCTAATTTATACGACATCTTAACGCGATAACTTCAAAATAAATAAATGTCAACTGACAGTAGAGTAAGTAAACAAACTTTTGTTTCCAAAGACACGTTATTAGTAGGTATGTAGGGTAGGTCAACAATTGCGAAAAACGTGTAGGCGTCGGCAACGCCGCAACTCTTTATCGGCGTTTGCGGGGTTGTGCGAGGCCTCGGCAGTTGGTAGCGCCAGCCGTCAGTGCGAGGTGTCCGATTTCCGCTAACGCGATTCCGCATGCGAATAAAACCGCGCAGCTAACCTGACCGAAACGGTATGCGAACCACACCAACCTCAACATGCCCAAGAAAAAACCCACTCCGGTCGAGGAACTGATCATCCCTCCACAAGACACCAAGATCTGCGGGACAATCTGCCTCTGTCAACTGACCCTGATCCTCAGCAGCGTCGCTATTGTCTATCTCACAGTGGCTATCTACGTGCCGTCTACACGCGCCTTGCAGTCTGGAATCTCAGAAACTCCCGCCATGTGCACCACCACTAGGGCTGTAACGGTAGAATCTTGTGACTGGGGATCTTGTGGTGAGTGGTGCCTCAGCAAAACCTCAGGCTCTTGCATGCAGATCTACGTTAACCTCAGACGCAACGGTTCTAACCTCCTGCTGGCCAATTGCACCAATATCGCACAGAAATTCTGTTACGGCAAGGACCAGGAGAACGCTAAAAAGAGTAGGTGTATAGCTGATGAGTGTAAAAACCTTACTGGAACCTTCAATTGCACCATGGGTATGTGTATTGACATAACAGACTCTTTCGAATGCATCTTCAAAGACACCGATCCACCATTGAAGTGCTCAGGACGCAGAGGTAAGATAACCTGCATCGACTTGAATGGGCTCTACAATTGCAAAAGAGGTACTTGTGAAAGGATACGAACGCCATACAATTGCGACAGGCAATGCGGAGATATCCCTACCAGGAATAAAAACGTGATAATGTTGAGCGGTGACGAGGTGTATTTATCGCAGTGTCAGAAATGTATAGACAGTGAAACGGGCTTGGAAATATGGAGTGAGGAGCAAGAAAATATTGTTATGACCTCCTGTCACACTATCCTTAACACCAGTCAAGGCTTGGAGGCGACGGATTGCGTGAACGGATCTTTGTTACCGAACAACATACTTGGAGATACAGCGAATTTTACGTATCTCACCTACCTCAGCGTATTCAACACCGAACCCCTGGATAAGCGCTTGGTGGTGGCTCCTCCGGAACCAGATTTGCTCATTGCTAACGAGAGTAAGCTACTGATCAACCTGGAAGGCTGTGTAAACACCTTGCGCGATGAGTGCAAGGATTTCTTGAAGATGTACGGGAAGGACGGTACCGATCACAACGCCAGAGCCCGTTTCCCTTGCTTTTTTTCGTCAGACAATCCTGCAGTAGTAGTTGCAAGGTTCGATCTTGCTACAACCACCAAGCAATTCCTGATAGCTTCTGTGCTACCGTCAGTCCTCTTCGTGGTGTCCTGTCTGACCCTGATACTGTGTCAACGCACAGTTGTCGTGGGGGATGACGCTAAGATGCGCTTTCAAGGCTGCACCAAGACGGAACCAGTAGCCGCGGCCTCCGAAAAGACAGCTTCTAGCAACAATATAAATGATCGAGGTGGCGGAAATAACATCATGGCACTTTGAGACCAATCACGTAAGATATACTCACCAGTATAATATGTTACAGAATGCTGTCCAGGGTCCATAAGGAGGGGTTTCGTGGCACTGGAAATGACTCGAATTTCCAGTTTGTCGCATCTATGAAATTTTTGCATTTATATGTTTCAAAACATAAGGATTTTGGAATTTTATCAACATTTTACTAGATACGCAATTTTGGCATTTTTGTCCAACATCGGTCGAATCACTTCCTACTTCAAACCTGTAATAAAACACAAAATACAGTAGCGGACAAAAGTTTGGAAACAAATATTAACATAATTGTGAACAATTTCATATACCTAAATCAAAATTGTGAAGGATCAGATAATGTAAATATTAAAGTCTACCATTGGCTCCCGTACTGATACAAGGTTTATCTTATCAATATTCAAATTCTGTGAAAATAAAAACGCGTTTTTTTAAATACCACACTTTTTGTAACGACAAAAATATGGAGAAAGATATTCTTACTGAACACATGCTCCCTTTTGCTGAAGGAGAAATGTACGATGGTCATTCCAGCAAGATAATGACCCCAACCATATCTCAAAATTCGTAAAGGACTCGTTAAGGCTAAAAAATGTTAATGTTTTTACATGGCCTTCGCAATCCCCGGACCTAAACCCTACAGAACATGTAAAAGACAACTGACAAGAAAAACTTTTAAACATAGAAACGATTTATTTGATTATGTAAAAAATATTTGGCAAAATATCTCAACAGACGTCTGTAAAAAATTGGTGTCTTCTATGACCAGCAGATGTCAGGCAGTGCTACCAAATATTAGCCAAACAGTATCTTTTAAATCTTTTTGTAGAGTTATTGTATTTAATTTTATAATAAAGAATATGTTTCCATACCTTTGTCGTCTCATTTTTGGTCGTAAAATAATATGAAGGCATTTTAATGCTAGTTTGTAGTACCACAACAAACAAATTGTCATTTGTATCCTCAAGAATGAAAAATATGAAAAAAAATAGTCGTTAATAAAAAAGAATTAAAAATTAGCGCACTTTTTAAAAATTACTAAGAATGTTTCCAAAGTTTTGTCCGTTACTGTATATATAGAAATGAAGGTTCTACATTCTCATTATAATTTATTTTATTTGTTTAAATACTGAAATAAAAGTGTTGTAGTATACTATGTCCTTTATTGCATTTGGATGCAAACATTTCATATATGCGAGCAATTTAAGTTATTTAGGATTATAGGACCAAAAACTTCGCGTGCCAAATTTGCCCTTTATTTTTACTTTCTACGCCACTGGCGAGGAAATATTGTAATCGCGAACAATTTCGAAAATGAGGTGTTATGTTTTTCTTTGATGTTATATGACATGTGCTTCACGGAAAACCATTTTAGTAATCTCCGTTGGTTTTTCTGTCTTGAACTATCTATTACTTAAAAGGTATTGCTCGGATTTTGATAAAATATTCACACAAAGTTACAACCATACGATAAAACTTTGTAGTTTTTTAAAATCGATCCAGCGGCGGTGTAGCTAAACGCAACAGAATAGAAATCGTACAAACTTCGTTTCTTGACGTTTCAGAGGCTGCTGATCATTTCCAGAAAAACATTTGGATTTGTTGAAAATTGGGGGTTGGGACGGGGGAGGGTAAATCTCAATTTTTGGCGGTTGCATATTTATACGCTTCCAACCCCGGTGAGTCAACGTGCCAGCGGCTTCACAGTTTCCAACCCAAGTGAAACTGCCACACTGCCGAGGCTGACGAGTGAATTCATCGAGTGGTGGGGGTGAGGTGATGTTGCCAGAAGAAAATGTCGATTGACTAATTGTTTAATTGACTTGGTACAATTAATTTTAACTTCTTTTTACATCTATTTGTCGATATTGTGCGAGCCGCCCTGATTACTCATAAGCTTTATGCTAATACTACATCATTTTAATCTTAATTATGCATCCAGTTATAAAATAATCCAGAGCTACGGGCAAAAAATGAATAAAATGAAATTCGCTGAAACTTCGTTTTTCCACGTTTCAGAGACTCAATCTCATATTTATCAAAAACATTTTTAAAGTGTTGCCACTGAATCAGTTTTCAAAACCCACAAGGCTTTTTCTTACTTAGCATCGTAGCAACCTTGTCTCAAACAGTGAGATGGTTTTTCGTGGTGTACATGTCATATAACACCCAAAAAACGTAGTATCTCGTTTTCGAAACTTGGAAAGTAAAAGTGCATTTTCAACTTGAAACCGAAAACTAAAATCTGTGTTTCCTTTCGCGTTGATACGTCTATAGAATCCATACACCATACCTCAAACTGTCTCAACAATGCATTCCATTAAGGACTTAACAACTTTCTTTGTAAATAAAATGCAAACCGTTTGAGATATCTCGAAAAATTTATTATTGGATTGCTCAAAACATTTATGTATGGAATTCGACCTCGTTCATATGTCCACCACGGGCACGTTCGCAGCGATCGGTCCTTGAACCCGATTTTCAATGACTCGGCCACACATTTCGACAGAACGGGCGCTATCTCTCGTTCAATTTTGGCTCTGAGCTTTTCTAACGATGCCAGCTTGTTGGCATAGACCAATGATTTAATGTAGCCCCACAAAAAAAGCCTAGAGGTGTTAAATCACACGATCTAGGTGGCCATTCTCGATATAACACATTCACCGAACTTTCAATATGTCGATTATTTCACCCGATGTGTGGCTTGTGGCACCGTCTGGTTGAAACCACATGACATTGATGTCTAGCCCATCCAACTGATCAAAAAAATAACGTTGCAACATGTCTTTGTAGCGATCGCCGTTGACTGTAACGTGACGGTTTCATCAACGAAAAAAAAAAACGAGCAGGCCAAGATCTCTTCGCAAAATTCGCCATAGTGTGGTCTGAGCGATGCCCAATCCTTGAGAACGCCGGCATTTTTACTGGCACTGAAACATCCAGAAGCGAATATGTCGACTCTAAATGTTTTTACTGGACTATGAATTGCTTGTGTACTGGGACCAGAATTACGATCAAAGATTGGCGTTAACGCTCTTAAAGTTGCAGGCTCGCAATTTCGGTAGTGAATTTTAATTATTTGTAAGCGTTGTTCGTTCGTGTGAAAATGTTTTCTTTACTGACTGTTTTGACATTGACAGTTCGGTAATTGATTTAAATTTGCGTTCACAGTGAAAGTTCAAAGTTGTCCAGTCTCTATTGGAAAACCCGATAGTTTCCAAGTTTCTTTGCTGTTTCGCTCGTCAGAGAACAACTTGCTGTTTCTGCCCTATGTAGGTTGAACACAAAGCTTGAATGATTACCGTTTAATTGGAAGGTGATTTATGGGGGAATATGATAGGTCGGGTCAAGGACGAATCGCGTGGCGTGAGCCAAAATATCAAATACCATCTCGTCCCGCATACATTTTGCAGTAATTGACCTCTCTGCTCTTTTCGGGAGCACTGCGATAGGGTGTTTCCTTAGCATATTCTAAACTATAGTAAGTGACATATAAATCCGAACACCCAGTTTAAATGGTTTTATTTTAATAAAAGTTGGTGAATGTATTTATCTTACTGTAAATAACAAGTGAAAAAATTTTCAGCCTTATCAGTTGGACATTCCGGTTTTCATACTGCTTTTTTTTAATTCACTAACGCTCTAAAAATGAATATTTCAGCCGCAGTAAAGAATCAACGTTGGCGGATTTTGGTTCTTGACATCCTTTACGATCGGTTACGATGCCTAGAGTACGGAGACCTGTACGATTTCGTCAACTTAGTGAGTTTGATAGGGGCCGTATAGTGGGACTTCGGGAAGCTGGACTTTCTTTTCGGGCAATTGCAGTTAGAGTGCAAAGAAGTGTAGACACTGTGGTTAGAGCAAGGGGCACTGGACGCCGCCGTAGAACAACAGACCGTGAAGATCGCCGCCTAAGATTATTGGCCTTAAGGGACCGTTTCTCCACTACCAGGTCCATTGCAAATGAATGGTTTGCAGAACACGGAAGACCTATTGGCATGCGAAGTGTTTACCGACGAATGAGAAGTTTTGGCTTGTTTTCATACCGGCCACACTGGGTCCTCCCTTTAACTCGAGAACACCGACGTAATCGCCTTGAGTGGTGCACACAACGGTCACTCTGGGATCAGGAATGGAACAGTATTGTCTTTAGTGACGAGTCGCGATTTTGTTTAGGCATGCACGATGGTCGTGCCAGGGTTAGAAGGCGACGTGGTGAAAGGAGGAATCCACAGTTTTTTGTTGAAAGACATGTTCATCACACTGTTGGAGTTATGGTTTGGGGTGCTATAGCTTATGGTTCCAGGTCACCTTTAATCTTCATCAAAGGTAACATGAACGCGCAGCGTTATATCCACGAAGTTCTAGAACACCATCTTTTACCCTATCTTGACACCCTGGCAGATCCAACTTTCCAACAAGATAATGCCCGACCACATGTTGCAAGAGTCACAATAGACTTCTTTCAACATAATGATGTCACATTGTTACCATGGCCACCAAGATCTCCCGACTTATTCCCAATTGAGCACGTGTGGGATATGATGGGTAGGAGATTTCTCAATTTGCAACGTCCTCCTCAGATTCTAGAAGCACTTCGACAGGAGTTGGTGGTTGCCTGGAATGAGATACCACAGGAGGACATTGACCACCTGATCAGAAGCATGCCTAGGCGCGTTGGAGAATGCGTAGCACATCAGGGTGCATCCACACATTATTAAAGGTCAAAGGGCTTTAAAGCAGTGCAATCATTTTGAAATTTTTATCATTTACTTATTATGCTTCATTAAGTACTTATACAAAATTTTATTAAAATAAAACCATTTAAACTGGGTGTTCGGATTTATATGTCACTTAGTATATTTATAGCAGTCACAGAGCCTGGTATTTATTGATTTGCACCTATAGCATAGAACATTTGATGTTTGGAATTTGAATCGGCTATATAAAAAACTAACGAACATTGTTTCAAAATTCTGGAAAATCTGCTGCCTTAGTGTAAAACTTTGTATTCCAAATCACCCTATTCTCTGACTTGTTGAGGTTAACGTTTTATAATATTTCACTTTTTGTTTCAGGCATTCCCCTCTTGCTGGACCGAGACTGATTTCGTTCCCACCAAAATTTGAATCCACCACGTAGGGGAAAGCGTACAATTTTCGAACTAGTTACAATTAATGCCTTATAATTTGAATCGTAAAAATGAGTATGACCAGCGTGGCCAGCATTACCAGCGAAAAGAAGCAGCTAACTTTTATCGACATAGCTGAAAAAGCAAAATTTTATACCTCACTATGTCTCGGAACTACCGCCTTTCTATCAGTTTTCGCTTTCTTGTTTTTGATACCTTTTGTCGTCGATCCAGCAATATCGAGCCTGATGGCTGACTACGAAGCAGAACCCGTCACATGCATTGTGACCCAACACGTTTACGCTGAAGGCATATCAAACTGTTCTTGGGCATCATGCAGGGAGGGCTGTACCAGAGAAGTTACCAGATGCCATCAAATCTACGTCAATTATTCGAAAACGCCGTTCAGAGAATATAGACCGCACAAGATTATAGAATGGGACGTGGTCGACACCCACTTCCTGATAAACACAGAAGGCTGCGGGTATCCTCCGTCAGTGAACTGCTCGGAATTTTCGCAGCAGTACGGTTACAGTACTGCCGGTACTCCGTTTCCGTGCTACTATAGCAGAACGTACCCTGACGCCCAGGTGGTAGCCAGGTATTCATGGGAGGATACCTTGAGGCATCTGGTACTTTCAATTACGATTCCCAATTTGTTATTCGCCGCTTCCATTGGGATTCTCACATACTGGTACTGCCCTGGGTGCAAGAGGTCCTGCCAGAAGTATATTCATCATTTTCCCACGGAGTAAGTATCTAAACTAGGATTAGGTTTGCAAAATACCGACCCAGTTTGATCTAAAAAATTCGAAAAATAAATTTTAACATAATACAAGAAAATGGCGTCAAGTAGGTTGACGCCATCATTCATATCCAACGTAAGTTGACCCCTCTTGGGAAAAAATTAGCTACTAACATGTACGAGCCCCTTCCCACTTCAAGATTTGTACCAAAATATGCCTTTATAAACTAAACACGACGAAACTATTTACTTCTAAAACAATTTATTTTCTCAAAAACATTTTAGATACACTCTAGTCGTAAAAAATACATATTTGAAATCAACTAATAGATCATCTGAACAAATAAACAATGTGCGAATAAATGCGCGAAGTTATTGAAAGATTACCATTGGGTAACATCACCTTTATTTTTTATTACGGCTGAAATTCTTTGGGGCGTAGTGTTAACCAAGTTTTGGCAAAAATTTGGTGTAAAACGATCCCATATTTCTTGAAGCTTTTGTCTCAGTTCGGTGATTGCACGAGTAGGATGTTGTCGTAGAACCTTTTTCATCTCGTGCCACAAAGTTTCAATAGGTGACAGATCTGGACTGCTAGAAACTCATTTCAAAAATGGTACATTATTTTCTCCCATCCGTTTTATAGCCTTTTTTGAGGTATGGCACGCTGTACCACCTTGCTGAAACACAAAGTCTTGGCCGGATGTCAAACATTCTTCCATCACTGGTAAAAGGGATTGTTCTAAAATTGCCAAATATTTGTTTGTATCCACATTTCTATCAATAAAATGACGTTTTCCTACTCCTTTTGATGACATACTGCCCCAGACCATAATGGATGCTGGAAATTTCACTTTTCTTTTCAGACAGTCAACATGGAATGCTTCATTTTTTTTGCGAATAACTCTACTGCAACTGTCACCAACACAAACTTCGAATCGGGCCTCATCACTCCATTGTATTGCACACCATTGTTGAGGTGTCCATTGTCTATGTTCTTTAGCCCATCTAAGCTAATTTTTCTTTTGCAGTGGAGTTAATAGTGGCTTTTCTTTGGCCTATAAGCCAGTTGTGCAACTTTAGGGTTTTTACTTCACTTTTTTTTATAAGAAAACTTACCTTGCAAGTGGACCTCGAAATTCTCCTTCCAACGGCGTCACTCCACAGAGCAGTTAATTGAAAGTAATTGGCACGTCTGTTTTTCACGATTATTCTTCTTAATGCTCTTCGGTCGGCATTTGTGATATTACTTTTTTTCACATGTCGTGGCTTAATATTAACTGAACCAGTTACGTTATATCTTCTAACAATATTTCTCACACTGTACCGCGATGAGTCTAACAAAGTTGCAATTTCTGAGTTTGATTTCCCAGAATTAAAAAATTTAATTATCAGTAACCGAATTTTCTCACTAATAACCTTTCCTTTACCCGTTTTGAAAACCGTAACTACCCAAAGCTATTTTAAACGTATACTGACAGCTGTGATTAATAAAAACAATTGTCACGGCTTTTATTTTTCATAGCCACCTATGCGTTATAGACTTATTTTACATTGAAATGAAAATAGGTTGACATGCTGTAATTGCAACATGTGTTATTTTCATGCTGCAAATTTGATTAGGGAGTGATAAAGTTGGTGTTTTCTATTATATATTATCAATATTTTAAACCTATAACAACCTGCTACATTTTTATTATTTGTGTTTAATAAGAAAAAAACTAAGATTTCAATAGTTGGGCCAACTGAACTAACAAATTAATTAAATGGGTCAAAATTCCGCATTTATGTAACCAAAAAATGAAACATTGAAAGTGTGAGTAACATTGAGCTAAAGTTTTGTGAAATCAAAAAGGCAGATTTTAATCGTACATTTCGTATGGAACATTTTTCACTTGAAGTGGACAGCGAATACAAAGTCGTTTTTTCAAATTTCCATAGAAAGAAAATCTTATAAAAATAAACTGTAATTTCATGATAAAATATATTCAAAATGACTCCTCAATCAATGCGCATACCATTTTAAAACTTGTGATGTATTTTAAGACCATAGGCTACATTTTGGAGTAAAAAAATCGAAAATTAAATAATGCGTTGCCCAAAATTTTGGTTTGAAATGATTACCTCCGCTTTAGCATCTTAAGTTTTTTTTCTAATTTTAATTTTGTTTTTTTATCAAAAAGTAGAAAACATTACCTATATGAAGCGATATGTTTCACATCCAAATATAATACTTTTCAATTAAAAAAAATCCCTATTTCAAATAGCCCCTGCGTCTCTAGATGTCTTCAATGACACTCGGTATACTTTAGAACACCAAGAATTTTAAACGCAAGCCTCGGCTTTGGAATCTATCTCATGGGCTACAACTCAAAGGACTTAGATTTTGACATTTGGAGTGTCTGCAGATTCGTCTTGAAAGCACATTTTTTCAGCTACTCAGTTGCTACTCCTGTCTGTTGTAAGATCCGACCTTTAAGATCAGAGACTTAACGTTGATTTTGATTTTGATAATAGCTATTTGCCAATATTTGTGGAGTGTTATGCTAGTTCAAATCAAAGCGATCTATGATTCATAGAATGGCAAATGCGGGATTTTGCTTAAACGCAAGCATTGCTAAATGCTCAACGTTGACATATAAATGAAACGGTAGAATCGACAAGGCGTGACATGCTATATATACGAATTCAACATAAAACATTTTATGTGCGTGAAAAGAGTAAAAAGTGATCTATATCTAGAAATATAATAAATATGTTGGTGAGGTAATTTTAGTCACGAAAGCTTTGACTTGCTATGGGATAAAGAAAGGTTGCTCTGGGTAATGGTAGTACATACGACATTGCAAACGTTTTTCTTGTATAAGAAAAGTTTCTTAGTCATAATTATACAGAAGCATGATTGGATGATTTCGATATAGACCAAAGTGGAAGCTTGGATTCATGGAAAATTTTATTTTCACAAGCTTTTAGTTAACTTGACCTGATTGTAAGTATCTGAGGGACCAATTGAGCTGAAAATTCTAAATCCAAAATGACGACTTATCATTTCCATAGTAACCTCTGCGATATGGGTATCAAATGAAAAGGCTTCATAAGAGAAACACAATAAGCAAAGTGACGTCATTTTAAATCCAATATTGCGGCCGCCGCAAAAAGACGTAAGTCAAATACGTTTTGACAGAAGGATGGAAACAGGGTGTAAAACTTGAGATGAATAAGATTCAGAAGTATCCCATTTCTACGCTGACGCCCAACTAGCAAAGTAGTGCTATAAGCTTTTGGTAAAAGAACCGTCCAGCCATAAAAGCTCTCTATTGTTGTTGCCTGAACACCAAAATGCTGGCTTAATGTTGTGTGGAATGCAAATTTGCTTTCTGCAACATATTTGCTCTAAAATGAGGTGTTTAAAATATTCTTATAGCATAGTTACACAACACCTTATAGGACAAATTTTTAACTGTTTCATAAACGTTTATACAACAATTTTATACGGCATATTTGCAGGTTAGTCAAAATGGTTGTGTTGTGGCATCCATGGTAACGTTTGTAAAACAAACCCGAGCCTATTGTATTGCTGTGCAAATTTACTACTTTAGCCAACAAATTGCTCCCAACGGAAGCACTTATACAACTGTTGTTTTGTAACTGTAATGGCTATACATATGCTAAATATGTTGGTATACAACTTCACCATAACCTAACTTTCTGCTGTCATATTTTTGTTAACATGCCATAACCAATGTTTTAAGACAAACAACGCATGCATATTGGTTAAAAAGGTTTTATCAACTGTTCAAACAGAAGATAATATAGATCTGGTACAAATTCTAGGTAAATCATTCGACTCAGGCAACACCAAAATATTCTAATAAACTAAAGACAACATGGAGGATGCCATGATTATACACAACCACCCGCCATATTGGGCAAACATTTATTCCTCTATTTGATATTGAATAATTATGTTTGAGTTCGAAATTACAGATATAATGTGATAAACATTAGTGTAATTGTGTCTAAATATAGGATTTGTGGAAGATTTAACGCATATAAGTTCAGTTTTCCATCTTAAAAATCTCGACATACTTTTGATCATTATCAGAATATGAATCAAATACGAAGCCCGTAGAAATTGCGTAACTACTTTGCACGATAATCACAATAAAATTTGCTGCGCAAGTAATTCAATAGCCCTATAACATAGTGTAGAAGTTTATCATATACCTGTGTATGAAATTCACAATGGCCGATATGTAAGTAAACAAGATTACTGTATTGTGTTAGTTATATATTCTTCACTTCGTCTATACAGTACATAAGAAATAGTTTGGTTGCAATAAAGTAGAATCACGTAACAGAATAGTTGTATAGTTGACAAAAACTGAATCTTGCACTGACGCAAATGTCCTATAGCGGCTGCAAGAGGCTTACACTTTTGTTGTATAACTGTTACCTGCTGCCCTTATACAACCTGTTAAATGACTGAAGCGTCCTATTAGGTGTGCCCATTCCGCTTGTATAGCTGCTCTAAGAGGGTTTTGCCAATGTTGTTACAGTATACAATGCTGTGTAAGGAATACTGTATAATCTTTCTTGCAACTCTAATAGGAGTGATAATTGTTAGTTGGGCGGAGAATACCGAAAACGGAGCTTCTATCTGCGGAAGGGTGCAATTGCTGTTTTTGACATGGTATAGCTCTAATGTGATGGTTTAAATATTTACAAACGTAAAAAATATTTTTAAATTTTTAGTTTCTTAGTAGCTCGATAAAAGCTGACTCTTAAAATGTATTTTTTCACTCCACACGTATACCGTTAGGTGTCTTGTGTTAACTCTTCTCTAAACTCTAGCATTTTCGAGTTATAAAAATCCCTGAAAATGCAGTTTCTTTTTAATGTCGAAACAACTTTCCGCTCAACAACCTCTTGATTGTTAAAGGGCGTCTAATAAAAGTAATTTTGTCTAAAAAGGCGTAAAATTTCTCCCATGAATGCGAGGTTTTGTCCTTGTCTATACGTTTTCTTTTAAATCATACTACGGGACACGTATTCCTGTATGACAGGTTTAAAATCTAAGATGGCTGCGCCACGTCTCAGTTGACCCAGTTCAAACTGACATTGATTTTATTCTCCACGATATTTATATGTATAGTATCTAATAGACTATGCATTTGATTGTTTCAGAGAGGACTACGAAGATAATAGCTACTAGATACATCTAGCTTCTTCCTACTGATGCTATTTTACTTAGATGGAAAAACATCATACTTGTCACGAAAATATAGCTAAGTCAATTTGGCAAGAGACTATTACAGGATACCGAATCCCGATTCTGGCGAATTTGGTCGCTATTGTGAAAAACGGTTCTAGTTCCAAACCAAACCAAATCTTGGGATACGTTTTATTTTAGAAATCCTAGGAAAGTGGTGAAAAAGTGCTTTTTAATATTAATCATAAATTGTAGTTGAACATTATTATTAAAAAAAAGTAATTTCCAAAAATCTTACCAATATGATGTGGAACCCAAAATTGTGTATAATTAGTCTATTTTCAATTTTTTACGAATCTTCTTTTTGTACAGTTTGTTCTAAAAAAGTGATTGAAAAAAATGTAATTACCTACAACGTTGGTAGTAAAAGTTTTCTACCTTAGTTTCTGATATGCGGAGCAGTACGTAGTTTTCAGATGGCGACCAAATAGACAAGGTATTTAGGCCCGATTTTACTATTGACCCATGCAAATCCAAATTTGCACCTATGGCCTAAGAATATGGTGGATTTCCTGTAAAATGTCTCTGAAACTAGAGAATAATCATATGATTTGTATAACATGGGCCCCTAACACCCATATTAAATTAAGAAATGCTTCATAAATCACCTGTTGCTACAAAAACATAATATTTTATAGTTATAGTCCTTTAGAAGTTTGAGTACCGCCCTATCTCAATAATAATATTATGTGCTCGTGTTTGGCAACAACGGATATAATCCGCCTTATCGGTTCATCGCATCGGAAACAAAAAAGCGAAAGAATTTGAAACGCTTATCACGATGTTTTTACTACAATTTTATTCAGTTGTATTCAGTCAATGTGTCAGTCGGTAACGCGTGAGTGAACAGTGGTGTTTGTTGCGTGGCTCAAACGAAATAAAAAATGGCACATGTTTACGAAAATGCTGAACTTATGAACATGATTCTTATTTACGGGGGGGGGGGAGTCTTTACAAAATGCCGCGGCATCACGAATTTATGCGGATCGGTTTCCCAATCGAGTGCAACCAACCCCTCGTGCCTTTGTTAATGTAGTACAAAGGGCTCGTGAATCGGGTGATTTAAGACCTCACAGGGGAGGGCATGCCGGTGCTCCAAGACCGCACTAAAATACTTGTCGGGGGGATACTTTATAAAACAAGGTAACATTTTTTTTTATTTTTACACACATATTTTGGTTTATCTTCCTTCTACAATCATTATCTGAAAATTAATGACTCAACTTCAAAGTATACATACAGGTCAAGTTAAAAAAGCATATTAAAATATGTCCCTTTCTTTTAAAATAATCATTTTAAGGTATATCATTCTTTTTGATTGGTGGATTTTAAGTATATAGAACTGTGTGATCGGGCGCAAATAAAAGAAATTGTTTTTTTAGCTAAGCCCGGTAATTCATGTGTTGGGAATAAGGTGCCAATCTTAAACAGACCATATAATTTTTCTCTAGTTTGAGAGATACTTTACAAGAAATCGACTATATTCATTAGATCCATTGTCTCAAAAACGCCTTCTCATGGGTCGAGTTTGTGCCTTAGGCGCAATTTTGTGCCTCGGATTAGTAAAATGGGATCTAAGAGTCACATTTATAAACTGTCCATGATAATTGAGTTCTGTTGGATTTTAAACATACGATAACGTGCAAGTGGTAATTTAACCTATGCCTGCATTCCACTGCAGGCTGTAACAATCTCGACCTGTATAACACGCTCAAACTAGCACTGATTATTGTAATGCCCGTTGCCGCTCTTCTATAAAATCGCTATTCAATATAAAATAGAGAAAGTGAATTATGTCCATTGCTACTTTAGATTGCGGTGTAACATTTAGCATAAAGGCCATCTGTCACGATACCGAATTTTGTGCTAAATTAAGTACTAAATTTTAGCTGTGTCACAAGTTGCTGCGTCTTACGCTTATAAATGTGACTCCAAATTCCCTATAATGTACGGAAAAAATTGGCTTTGGTATACTTATAGATAAAACCGATTCTATCGTTCACAAGGATCTTTTAACACTTTCGAATATCAAAAGTCATTTTCCAATTGGCTTTTCATAGGTAGTACAAAGTAAACATTACGAGTACCTATTTAAAATTACCTATATTGTATAGTATCGCTATAGATAAACTTTGTTTTAGGCTATAAGTATCAAAATTATAAACAAATTTAATATTGTAAACGTTGTTCGACTATCGCCCAATAAAAATATTTTTTCCTGTGGCTGTTTTATGTCCCGTCAACCTTCATCAACGTTGAAATGTTCACATTCGTGTGCCTTGCCTTGTCAGTAAAAAAAATTAAAAAGTGCTCACCATTCATTTGCAGATAAATTTCGAGTACGGCTCTGTCTCTTATAAGTACTCTTAGAAGTTATCACCGTAGGTAAAATGTCTCGTAGGAAGTCTAGCTGTTGTGAAGAATTGCAGAATATTTGGAATACTGGTTTGATTTTTGGAAATAAATTTACGGGATTAGCAAAATAAAAAATGCATTGAGTTATTGCGAAATCATTAAGTTTCAATGATATAAACAGTCAAACAAAATAAAAATGGTGATTTGCAATATAGTATTCCAGATTATCATCACCTTTTTTTGACAATTGTTTACATTTTTTTAAGAAACTAATAAATTTCTCAACTTTGTTTTACATTTTTTGGTAATTAATCTTTTTAACAAAATAGCTTATAATTATTAATTATTAAGTAATCAGTCACAATAATCACAAATCAGTATTTAGACTGACATTAAGCACTGTACCTATTCCAAATTAACAACATGACATCCTAACTTAAAATTCCATGTCACATTTTCAATTCTAAACATATACACAAAATCAAAATAAAATGGTAAACTAACAAGGTCACATAACAGTTCAAATAATTGCAATTAAGATTTCACGTTTGGTTATCAATGATTGCATTCTTACCGAAAAAGTTTTCAAAGTAAACGTTTCGTTCCCGTGTGGCTGATAGCAGGAAATGTCAAGATGACGTCCTGTTTTTAGTACTTGTGGTTTCGTGTGGCTTACAACATTATATTCACGGCAAAAAAATACACATAGTGTTTGCATTTACTTAGATAACTTAGTATTCCAAGTTGCCTTCAGTATTCCAAATATGCTGCACTTCCTCTACAGTATCAGAATAATTACGATCTAAGAGATATAGTTTTTTCCAAAGATCTCCAACATTTTTACATGCGATCAGTACCGTTTCGAAAACTGAATAAATAACTATGCCGTAAATCTGAGTTCTGAATTATTATCACAGAGATTCTCATGCATATTTGCAATTAATGATTTGCTTAGTAAATGATGTGTGAATTATGGTGACCAACATTGGCGCGTCTTTAATCCACCTCTTCCACGATCACTCAGAGAGCGGAAAATTTTAGTCATAGAGACGTATACTTCCCTAGTGCTTGTTGAAGGATATTTGCACCATTCGGGGTTATCTAGGTCTCCCAGTGTGCCCTGCAAGCAACCTATGTCCCCAAGGTAGACAAATCCACGCGGCCCTGATCTGGGAAAGCGATCCGCGTACACTCGCGAAGCCTCGGTAGCATTAAGACACCATAAACTAAAATTATGTCGACAAGCTGGATATTGCTGTACGAGGTTTTGTGTGCCACAGTAGGGATATTAGTGTGTTCGTGTTCCAGAACTTTTTTTTAACCTCCAGCTACGACGAAGGCCCTAACATCCATGGGGTACCGTGGGGCTATAGGGGGAGACAGGGGAAAGGGGGACGCCAAACACGTGTGCATGCAGCATGCACACATTCTGGCCCCGCCTACGACATCCGCTGGGTGGTACCTCCACGTACGACTGTCAGAAATCGTCTACCACCTACGGACAATCACAACATCCATAACCAAGAGGAAAATTCATCTTGGGACGGGATTCGAACCCTCGCAGTGCACGGCGACTGATCAGGAGATCGAGGAGTCTACTACTGCCGCCACCGTTGCTGTCTATAGGGGAATATAGGGGAAAGGGGGACGCCACATGGACTCTAGCGAGGGAACACGTGTGCATGCAGCATGTACACATTCTGGCCCCGCCTACGAGATCCGCGTGGTGGTACCTCCGCGTTCGACAGTCAGAGATCGTCTACCACCTATGGACTATCACAACATCCATAGCCAAGTTAAACATTTCTCCTGGGACGGGACTCGAACCCTCGCAGCGCACGGCGACTGATCAGGAGACGAAGCGTCGACCACTGCGGCCACCGCTGCTGCCTGGCCGATACGACCTCTCCTTTGTCCCTAGGGCATCAAGAGTGTGGAGCAATCTACTGTTCCCAGTTCTACTAATCTTAGGCAGTTCAAAAATCAGATCAACAGTTTCTTTATCTCCTCATACTACCGCACTGTATCTTTCAAATCTGACGGTACCGTAAGTGATATTGTGTAAATGGTAAGTTAACTTGAATCGAGAACTTTATACGATTTACCCCTGTATACAAATGACACCGGTCTAGACGCACCACGTTACTAAAGTGTGATAGGTTATATTTTCTCGCCTACTTGAAAATCAATATTGGACGTCTCTATGTTATATTTTTCAGAATAAGACATCTTGATGTCTCCAGACACCGATTTTCCTTCGCAATTTTTTTGCTTCTAGCCGAATGTGAACTACAATTTGAAACTTCCAAAAAATTAACTTTAAAAATTCACCCCGGATTTTAAGTTTGCGCAAGCGCTATGGTGCGAACGAATGTAAACGCAGCCAGTCGAATCAGAACATCTTGTCCGTCAAGACCTATAATCTATAATGTAGCATCATACACCAAAGTGCCTTTAGATCAAACACCAATACCATGGGTAGAAGAAACAAATGTAAGCCTCGTATGATACCCCAACAGGACAAGAAGATCTGTGGCTGTATATGCTTCTGCCAGCTCCTCGTGGTGTTCAGTTGTGTGTCCTTGATTTACCTAACTGTAGCAGTCTACATACCATCCTACAGAACTTTTCATAGTGGATATGAAGAACGCCCTGTTATGTGCCAGACGATAAATACTAGCACGGAGAACAACTGCAGTTGGGCGTCTTGCGGCGAATGGTGTTTGACGAAGACATCTGGATTCTGTCCACAGATACATTCTTTGACTAGGCAGAATGGCACTAAGGTGCAATTCCTCAATTGCACCAACTTCCAGACGTCTTTCTGCCCTCCAGTTAGTGTAAGTGAGCTCAAAAGACACAATTGCAATAATGGAACTGAATGCGCCTCGCTTAAAGGCTTGTTCAACTGCTCACTTGGACATTGCACAAATATGTCCAAGATATACCAGTGTCATTATAAAGCAGATGGGTTCACTGTGGATAGTGATCGAGACAACGTAAAGCTCAATGGATTTTTTGAATGCAGAGGTGCAAAGTGCACCAAGATCAAGAAGGCATTTAGATGTGATAGGATATGTAAAGAAAACATCACTACAACGTCGAAGAATGTGTATATTTCTATAGGGAATAAAGTTCATACAGCTACATGTAATTCAGCTGAAGCTTCTAACAGGGCGAATGGTAATCAGGAAGGTATTGATATAGAACCGGTGCAGTTCTGGACCAAACTGCCTGATGAAGTGCTTATGGTGTCCTGTCATACGTTTAGCTTCAATGAAGCAAATCAAACTATCAGGTAAGTGAAATATTAAAATCGGCTTCTATTGAAGAGTATGCTACAGCTTTCCTACTATCGCAATATTTTACATTTCTGGAGAATCTCACACTTCGGGCAGAAAAGGCCGACACGGCAATACTGAGATTCTGAGATATATGTCAAAAAAAAGTATGATATTGAAATGTTACTAGTGACTTTGAGGTTCTGGACTAGAGGTCACCTTCAAGATTTGACCTGTAAGACGGTGTTTACAATATGTATACGAGGGATGTTTCAAATGTTTTAATTGAAGCAAATGCATTTTGTTTGTCTAGCGGAATACGTTTCAAGTGACTTTTTGCAGCATCTATCAAAAATCCAAATTTTTAGCGTTATACTGTCATATTTACTGTGATCGTGAGCATTTTCAAATTCGTGCTATTAAATTATTCGTTGAATGCGATGGGTTATAATTCAATGTCTACTCATAGTATGAATGAGGAAGTACGGATGTTTATTACTCATTCACGTCAAAATGGTTCATAAATATGACATCTCGATCTATTTCCTAGTTTCGTTTGATTTAGTTTTGTCTGGTGTTTAGCTTAACTTCAAGTATAATCTGTATTTTTTCTGTAATATTTGAGGGACTAATATACGGATAACTGTTTAGGGTAGTATCATTTTCTAAATATACATTTATTATATGAGATATATGAACGAAAGTTATAGGAAGACTTACTTTGATCAGAGTGTCAGATCACTTTGAGGTCATCGACGAAATACTTTTGTTATCCTGAAACTTTACTCAAAAGTTTCTTTTCAACGTAAATATAGGCTTATAGTCTCTACGGGTTGTGGTTCGGTCGTGATGCTGAAGACTAGAGAGACATTCACATTTATACAGAGTGTTCGAATAATAGACGAAGATATTTTCGAGGGTGATTCCTTGTTAAAAAATATGAAAAAGTTTCTATAAACATGGGTCCAGAAATCCAGAGCTTTTAAGATACAGGGTGATAAATCTGAAGTTTTTTCTTAGAGAAATTTCGCAAAGAAAATTACGCGAATAATTATTTTCTGCATGAACTGACGCGCAAATATCAAACCTCCATGCAGAGATAATTTTTTGTTCTCCAAGGCACTTGTGATTTTTTTTTTTAAATTGATCAACCAATTTTGTCCAGTGACGTACAATAAAACGGTTTTTATTTCTTTTTTTCTCGAAAACGATGTGAGATACGAAAACAATACAAAAAGCAAAGAAGTTGTATTTTTAGATGCTGAATCAAACAACAAATGTTAAAGTTACAAAAAGGGCAGTTTCGTACATTTTTTTGCTGATAATATGCGCTAAGGTGCTCCTTGGGACACCACTGGACCTAATAATTTCAATCTATTCAGGGCTAAATTAGATTCTTAATACAACAAATAATATAGCCAAATTTCAAGAGAATCAAGTAAATACTTTTCAAGATATTAATAAAAAAGGTTTTTTTAAATCTATCACCCTGTATCTTAAAAACTCTGCATTTCCGGACCCATGTTTATGTGAACTTTTTGTATATTTTCATCCCTCTATGATGTCTCCGTCTATTGTTCGTATAGTGTTGAAATTTGCATTACTTTGAAGATTGCATTTCTTTCTCAAAAATTAGATGTCAGGCTAGTTTTAAATAAATTTCAAGAGAAGTATTATGACGTAGGACACTTTTGAATGTCAACTTTTTGTGCTTTTCTAGTGCAACCGACTGTATCAACGGGACCATTTTCGACTCAAACATCATACCAAGACCATACTCTACCTTTAGGCAATTTTGGAATTTGACTGGGAAGTACAGGAATATGGTAGATCCAACTAATCAATATGTACCAATCCAGTCATCTCTAACGATTTACAATGCGTCAAGGCTCTACATAAACCTTGAAGGGTGTGTGAATACCCTTAAGGGCGAATGTTTGGAGTTCCTTCACTCTCATGGTAGAGATGGTAGGAATCAGACTGCGTCGTCTAGGTATCCCTGCTTTTATAACAAGGTAATCGATCAAGTTTATAAATTCAAAATACATCTAAATGGCTAGAAGACGCCAGGAATATTCGGTATTGGGCCTATTCAGAGACTTTTTTAATATCCAGTAGTCGACTGAATCACTGACCAACAAATAAGATTTTCTACCTGCTTCCTCGTTCTAAGTAGTCAAATCTCACTAATTTTTGGGTCGAGAGAAACGAATACGGCCATGCAATTTTTTTACTAGCTCTTGTTTTGAAGATACACAGCAGTTCACTGTGTACAACGATTTAAAGATCGTAATTATATGAGGTGTCCACTCTGAAGATATTTACAAGGTAGTACGCCTCAGGTGTGTGACGTACCGTACACCAGAGGCGTACTAACTTGTAAATATCTTCGGAAGGGAAATTGAAATATAATATCTAAACAATAGTCTATTTGGACTGGCTTTTGTATGTCGAATCCGGCGCACCTCTTTTAAGAGTCCAGAAGAAGTCGGCGAGCATTGACATGTCCCAACGACTTCCTCAAAGTTGGGATTATCCTTTACACGAGAGGAAATAAGCGAATTTTCTTAGTAGCATATACACCAAGCCGGTCCTGTCCTATCCCTCGATCACGTCCAGAGCGCCAGCGCCAGCGTACAGTTACACGACGTACGACTACGATGTAAATACTGATTTTACGACAGAGCCGTACTTGGAATTTCCATTCAACTGAATAGCGAGTACTTTTTCACCACACATTAGCTTTGTTATATCAAACGTAGTCGTGTCTGGAAAGGAAAACCCCAACTTTGCGGACACCCTGTATAGTGGACTTGTATATGACAAAAATTTACATTTTTCAGCAAAGTTCATTTATGGTATTAGCAAGATACGACCTTCAACGGACCTGGCGAGACATGATCATAGCCATCAGTATCCCATCAGCACTTTTCGTAGTGTCTTTCGTCACCCTCTGTGCCATAATGCAATCAGTAAGGGTGGATGATGACACTAAGATGAGGTGCAAGTACTGCTTCTCTAGCTATAGTTCTGATCTTACCGAAATGATAAGCAGTAAGTATGAGGCTTTTCCTGAGGTTGAACCAACCACCAATAAAGGCAATGAAGCCACAAGTTAAACCACTGATTCCTGGAAAGATGTATGTTTGGCATGGGCACCGACAGATATTCTTCATGGGGGGAAACTTTTTGCATCCTATCACCCCGCAAAGTTTCTCTGTGACCACCAATATGGTATAAAATGACCCCGCACAAAACATTGGAAAATGGTTCCCAGTTGATTTGCCCGTGATTTTGTATGGTATGCGTATATTTCTCGCTTTGCCATATGTGGTTTCTTGATATGCTCTCTACGAGCTTGTTATCCGTCAAAAGAGCTGCAGACCAAAACAGAAAGCTCAAAATGAGAGTCAATAAATTACCAAAATCAACATGACCTTGAATTAACCTTGTTTTTCCTTTTTTAAGTCCTGGAACAACTCGTTCCAGATCCATTACAGTGTTAACGTATTAAAGTAAGCTTGTCCGTGAATTAACCTTGTAAGGATCATGATACCCCCACAATACCTTTACTAAAATGCTTTTAAATGAAATACTTTCTTTGGTAAAACTCTCCGAGTATTTGATCAGAGAACTACAATAGGCACATTCATCATTATTGCACATTGGGCATACTTCCTCCCCTATTTCTCAGAAACTAACTATAGGATTACTTTGTTTCTAGGAGAACTTTTGTTCAGGAAAACGAGAAATATATCACGCTCAATTTTTAGGTAAATCGACTGGGACCCATTCTTGATATGTTTTGTGCGGGGTCCTTCGTTAATTTTGGCTGGCAGCCAGATTGTCAGATGGACCTTAGCCTCTCCTCTGGCTGCCCACTGTAGGCGCCCATGATGTTTGGTCTTTCCTAACCTTCTTAATAGTCTAATCTTATTAGACGAAAATACCCCTGGCTTGTGAAATAATTGTAAAGTCTGTCTTTATTGATGCAAGTTGTTCAAGGTTGTATTCAAAAACTTTACAATTAGTTATTTCGGGGAAATTTGCTAATATGATGAGACTGAACCAGGTCCAGACATATTTTTAGCAAGTTAGAAATAAAGATAAACAAATAGTGGGGATACAGAAAGATGGGCCACGCTTGAAGCTTTACTTATTGATGTCATTTTTATGTGAAGTATTGCACTTCAAATAAAAGCAAAACAGGATGGGACCGCCATGTGAAACAGAGATTTCGTAATTTTACAAAATCCAGAATTTTTTAGCCTGGTCCTCCTTTCTGAGTCACCTGGCAAAAATAACCAAACGTTGAAATATTTTGAGTATGTCCAAACTCTAAGACTAGTAAAGAAACACGATGTATGTAGTTAATAAGTGTAAAAGAAAGCACAAAATGTATGGTGTTCTATGCATGAAAATGCTATAGTCTAGATATTCTGCAGGCGGAATAAGTTTATCCCCTCAAATCATCATCGCTCAAACTTTTCCTTATTTCTAAGAGTCAATGTACGGTTATCAGATGGCCCATTTTTGTCCAATATGTTGAAATGTTCAGTGTCAAGCATTTATAAAAGAAGCTGCTACTATAAAGACATATTCTTACTGCGTATCAATGTGGCTTCAAAGTGCCTAAATGTATTTATGTGCAAGCTTATGTATGACTTCAATATTTCCCTACCATAAAACTGGGAATTATTTAAACAAAAAGAGGCATAAAACTTAGAAGCTGACCATTTGTTTGCCTTAACCTTCAAAAAGTTAAATTGTAGAGTATACAAAACGAGGGCGGTTCAATAAGTACTCTCGCTAGAAATGAAGACACCAAAAAAAAATTCCCCAATAGGACTTGTCGAACTCTCCAAAATATGCCCCTTCCTCGGCATTGACTTCCTCGTTTGAGCTAATTTCACGAAACACGGAAGGCAGCCAAATCCAAACTAACCTATCAATCAATCTGATTGATAGATGGCAGCACACGATGATAACACCAACTTCCCTCAGGAACACGGGTACTTATTGAACATACCTCGTACAAACTCAACATTTTTGTTTTTGATAAATGTCTATCTTTCGAATTTCTAGTCCATTGCAAGTCAACTGTTATCTGGATTCATTATTACTCATTGTACTGATGATTCTTCATAAGACTGAGCACAGGACCATTCTTATGATAACTGATAATAACCGCACGAATTTTATGTTTCTAGGCTCGGTCGTATGGCGAATTTGATATTTAAAAGGCTTTTGAAGAATGTGATCTAAAGACTAACAAAATTTTCTACTTATATTTCGACTGACCTTTTTAGGTAATGAAAAATTAGTAATAATATACATACACTGATATAAAAGTCGCTGGTATCTAATAATAATGAAATTCTAAACTTATGATATACATACCTATATTATACTTCCCTTTGTAACAATATGAAAATGTAGTTTATATAAAATTATTTTGTCTAAGCATTGTTTTAGCTGGAGGAGTGCCTTTCTGTCCAACTTATACGCTTTGCATATCTTGACGAAAAATAATTTTATCACCAGTACACATTTCTCTCAATTTTCTGTCCGTTTCCGATAAGTTCGTATACCGGGTGTCCCAACGTAAGCAGGGAATCTCAATGCATATAGAACACAAAAATGAGACAAGTTCGAAGAAAAATGTCATATGAATATACAGGATGACTTCGAAGTTGAGTCATTTATTTTAACAGTGAGTACATCTGATCAAAAGAAATGTTTTTTTTCCTTTAACATTTTTCTGGTAAAATTAAAGTAACAAAGTTATAGCCCTTTAGAAGTTTGAGTACCGGCGTGTCTCAATAATAATATTATGTGCTCGTGTTTGGCACAACGGATATAATCCGCCTTATCGGTTCATCGCATCGGAAACAAAAAAGCGAAAGAATTTGAAACGCTTATTACGATGTTTTTACTACAATTTTATTCAGTTGTATTCAGTCAATGTGTCAGTTGGTAACGCGTGAGTGAATAGTGGTGTTTGTTGCGTGGCTCAAACGAAATAAAAAATGGCACATGTTTACGAAAATGCTGAACTTGTGGACATGTGGGGGGGGGGAGTCTTTACAAAATGCTGCCGCGGCATCACGGATTTATGCGGATCGGTTTCCCAATCGAGTGCAACCAACCCCTCGTGCCTTTGTTAATGTAGTACAAAGGGCTCGTGAATCAGGTGACTTAAGACCTCACAGGGGAGGGCATGCCGGTGCTCCAAGACCGCACGATCAAATACAGGTCCGCACTGAAATACTTGTCGGGAGGATACTTTATAAAACAAGGTAAACTTTTTTTTTATTTTTACACATACTTTGGTTTATCTTCCTTCTACAATCATTATCTGAAAATTAATGACTCAACTTCAAAGTTCTTAAGAAACTAGATTAACGCAGGACGAAAATATGTTTATCCTGTAACCCAACTAATTTTTCCGAAGGCTTATGAAGCATTTTTCTGAATTTGTCATATTAGCGGAAATGTATTCAAAACTAAAATATATTCGACATTTTTATTTAATAATAGCTGACCCGACAAACGTTGTCCTGTCTTGACTATGAACTGGGATGAATAATGAATAATAAAAAGGGATATACAGGGTGTTTCAATAATAAATTGAAAAATAAATATCTGTATTTTGCGTTGATCGTCGTGATATTAGAATACGCTTTAATAATTTATTGTAGCAGATGTTATACCAAACAATTGATGAAAACAAAATACCAGGACTTTTTGTTTTTTCATACTGATATATATTATATAGATTTTTTTGAAGTTAAATAAGTAAGTATTTTGCGAGTTCGTTTTCAGTTATTTATTAATAAAAATGGCACATGTGTACACTAATGAGGAGTTAGTGGACATGGTTATAGCGCACGGAGAAGCAGGGCAAAATTCGCGAGCGGTTTCTCGTTTGTATGCACACCGATTTACAAAAACGGTTTGTTATTATACAGTGTTAAAAAATTGCTAATAGGTCGTACAGACATATTTCATACGAACATGCGAAACTTTGTTGTTCCATATGTATCTGAAATATTGACCAATTATTTTGGGAGGCCATATACAGGG